TGACGTTCAGGCATGGTGCTGTGACATGACAGCCGTTTTAACAGGCTGCTGTGTAAATCATCTTTAGTGAGCCTGTTAAAATATGTATAAGAAAGTCAACCGTGTAGCATGTCTGAGGAAATCTGCACCAGCCAACTCAAAGGTGAGGTGACATAAAAAGTTTAAAGAGAAGGAAAGAAACAGAAGTTAAAACGCTGTGCGAACTTTTTAGATTTTGCAAACCAGCGTCTACAAGCATGCTAAACTGTACGAGACGTCTGTGGCTTCAAATCTGAAGAACTACCTGAGGTAACATTATTTTGCACCTGCTGGGGGTACAGATTATGTGTTTGAGAGAAAATTGTGGAGGTGTGGACTGGAGCAAATCTCTGTGGCCTGTTACGTTTGGCTAGAGGCTAAGGTAGCCGATGGCTACGTTAGCTCTTAGCAGTAGAGCACTCAGAACTGGTTTTCCTGGTACCCAGTCTGATGTTTTGACAAGAAAAAAGGAATACACAGATAAATATTATTTGTTTGATCCATTTTTTTTTACTTCTATGTCTTGAGGTGTTTGACATACAATCAGCAAAGTGACAACCAGTGACACGCCTAACAGGGTTAGTTTGTCATCAGCTCTTAAAGGCACACGTTGCAATTTTTCATATTTTTAAATCATTTTCTTGAGCCAGTATGTGCTAAAACAGCACATTCTCATTTCCAACGTGTTGAAAACCAACGCCGGGTGACCTATCGTTTGATTGCGTGAGCGTCGGTTTCCGACGCCCACGGTAAAACCATCGGGTTAAACGCACATCTTATCTTTTAGCCTCAAACATCTTGCTGTTTAACTTTCCCCTCATCCCAATCCTAACCTTAACCCTGTTGCTCATTCTAAACTTCTCATTAACCGTGTTGGAGAGCGACGTTACAACTAGGAGCAAACATTTGAATGCACAAGAGGGTTAAGGTTAGGATGGGGGTGAGGGGAAGGTTAAATAGCAGGTTAGTACCCTAACCTGACATTCACCCCCTTTGGGCCCCTACCTCTCTCATCCACCAAGTCCCGCCTTGTTCCTGTTCTCCTGTTTGAACAGCGGTTGTGAACGGTTCCTGCTTTTACAACCTGCACCAAAGCTGCAGCCCCGTCCCTGACATTGTCAGTGCGCCCTGAATTACATTCCTTTTTCTAATCAATTTTGTTATTCCCTTAGTTGTGGTCTCGCGCATGAATCTGCATGTATTGGGTTAGCACTTACCTCAGAACATAGTAGGGGTTGTGTCAACTAGTGGACTAATCGACTTCACTGCTCTGTAGTGACTCTATATGCCTGTCATCGACTAGTTGCTGTCACTTGATAATGACCGACAAGATGCAGTCCTCGGAAAAGACAGCAGGTGACGAGCCCCTGTGCGTTGGGAGCATCGACATTAATATAGGAGGAGGCGAAAATTTGATATCAAGTTCAAAGAGAACGTGCTGATTATGCTGCAGAACACTCTGGGGAGCAGTAGCAGGGGTTGTATGAACTAGTCACTAGTCGACTTCACCACTCTATAGTGACTTTTTATGCCTGTCATCGACTAGTCGCTGTCACGTGATAATGACCGGCAAGATGCAGTCCACGGAAAAGACAGCAGCCTGCTGTCAGCAGGTGACAAGCTCCTGTGCGTCGGGAGGCCACGCGCTGTGCCAGAGCGTTGGTATCTGGCGCCCGCGGTAAAACGGACATTTGACCGAATTGTGACGTTTACCCTCTTGCAATTTAACCTTCCCCTCACCCCAATCCTAACCTTAACCAGCTTGCGCATGCAAAGGTCTGATCGTTGACGCGCTCCAGACATCTGCGTCCTGAGCACGGCCACAGTAACGTTATCAAATCAGGTGTTGCCACCTCAAAAACTAATTTAACACGCGATCGATCATGTCAGCTCATTTCCTTTTATGTCTTCGGTCTTTTATTTGTGCCTGATGCTTTTCGCTGCTGTGGAGCGGGGTGCATCACCTGTTTTGTCCACAAGTGACGCACCTCACTGGTGCGGCCAGTGCGCAGCACGCACTCCGCTGTTTTTGCGGTCGGTAGATCTTTTAGAACTGCAGTTCAAAGGTATCATAAGGTGAATATAAATGAACCCAGGTAGCAGTTTTTCTTTAGGACTAAGAGGAGATGCAGGAAGATAATAAACAGGCATGACAGAAAAATAGTCAAATAAAAACAAGTTAGTTTTTGTACCTGGTGGTTGCAACAAACAGACACCATTGAAGGTAATCAGAGGTGAGGAACAGAAAATGAAATAATTATTTTAATGTTTAGAGCAGCAGGAACTCCGAGAGACTGCAGGTGCATCAGTGAGTTTGCGGCCGCTGCGCAGGGGGGGGGTGGGGGGGGGGGTGGGGGGGGCTAAAGCAGGATGCAGAAACTACCGTTGTTAAACGAGATGTGTTTAACTTAGAAAATGTGGGCGCAATTTTAATTGTCAAAAACTCCAGCGAACCAACCCTCTGATGTCAGTATATTCTCACTGCAGCATCAGTACAGCTGTTCTTAGTTGATAAATAAACAAAAAAATTCTCAAACCAGGTCAATGAAACATGATTCAAAAAGGCTGATTTTTCTTTGATTGTTGGAGGACACCTCAGTCGCCCTTGTTATTCTTCTCCATCACTCGTCATCTTCTGTCAAATGATTTCCTGTTGACACCTTTTGAGCAAAATGTTGATTCTGGCTCACTCATCGTTGGCGCACAGTTCCAAGCCTTTGGGCTTCATCCAAATGGTCGCGAAGGGTCCTCATGGGCCCTCAAAGACGGACAAAGATCAGGAAATTTGCATTAAATGAGCCCTGAATTGAGTTCAAGTTGTCTATGGATTAGAGACAGCAAATGGTCCACAACTACATGGTGCTTTTTGACCTTGCTGTAGTTTGTTTTGTTCTTCCAGATCAAGTGCAATCTAGGGTTCAGATCCTTGCACGAGGGCACCTTGATGAGCAGGGGGACAAACCACTCACCTACTAATGGAACTTCAACAACAGGGTGGAGATTGAACACTTTAACAGACAGACTTACAGAGTCCTTTTTTGAGTTTTGAATGGCTGTATGTTGGAAGCAACAACACATGTACAGAAATGTTTAATCAGAAAATGATCCCTTAGTTTTTACTTTGGAAAAATGTTTTTGTAATGAAAATCAACTTAAAGATGGGATTCACTCATTTAATCATTACATCTGTAGTGTTCTCTGGTAGGAATGAATGCCTTGTAAGTCGTACTTGGGGACAAAAAGGCTCAGATTTTTTGTCCCCTGACTTGTACAGTACTTCCTGTTTCAGGAAGTACAAGTCAGCTGGAGGAGATGGTGGGTGTTTCTCAATGTCAAGGAACCTTGCCTTGATGTCTTGGCCCCGTCCCGTTTGCCTAGGAGATACGTGATCAGGAGCCGCCAAGACGTGTTCCAATCGTTCCAATGTTCATGTTCTACCGAGGCGTCTGTTCTCAATTTGTTAGCTGTTTAGCTAGCTGAGCAAGGACACACGGGATGTGTCTTGTAGCCTAGCCTTGGTCAAAAATTACCCAGAATACGCCGCGGTATTTTCAAAAGAACGGTGGATCAGAAGCCGGCAGCTACTTCAGGGACAAATTTCAAGTTTAAAAGTAAGTCAGCTAATTTAAAATGTTTTTCTTAGATCCAAAGAAGTTATCTGTTGTTGGTTGGTTGCTTAGTAGTTGCAGCTTCGGTGGCTAGCGGGTAGTAACTCGCTTATATTTTTAATTTAATAAACATATACACAATTTAAAAAGTAAAAGGCTCGTTTTATATTTATATTGAAACTAATACATATAAAATATAACGTTGTCTCCCGTGTCACGTGACGTTACGTGACCGCCGTGGAAGCAGCGGTCACGTGATGCAAGTCTGTTCCATTTAACCGTTTTCTTTGACCAAGGAAGGACTGTGTCCTTGTACGTAAGGTGCCTGGCCTCGCAAGACATCGCCTCGCAAGGCCAGGTGCCTTGACTTTGAGAAACAGTCAGTGGCTTCAAGCAGCAGGATTTGGAGTCTTACTTCCTGATATTTGTACATCTCACAACGGCTTGGATAACAGCAGCGCAACTCTACCACTGAATCTGTTTGGAATGTTGATGTTTCATCTTGAGGCGATGGTGGC